CACAGTAGGTAGAGAAACACAGAGGTTTCATTATGCTCAAAATTAAGTACTGGAAAGAAGCTATCCTTTCAAGCAAAGCATCACAGTGTCACAATTACAGGACAGATATTCAACACAACTGATAGCATGACGTACTAGAGTGCAATCGAAGATTCAATAAATGGTTAGGAGGCATTTTTTGAAATAAAAAGAAACTTGCCTTCTATTTCTGGCAGTTATGCCACATTAGATGTTAACAAACTTAATTTTGTAATGCATTAAAAAATATAACCATCATGACCAATTTGGATTTACTTCCAGAACGTGCAGCTGGCTCAATACTAGAAACCCATACCAATAAAATTCATCACATTGGGCCGGGGATTTAGCTCAGTGGTTTTGCCGCCTGCTGCACAAGCACAAGGACCCAAGTTCGATCCTTGGTACCAAAAAAAAAAAAAAGAATTCATCACATTAATAGACTAAGGAAGCAAAAACATGACCTTAAATGATGGGAGGAAAAAGGCCTTGATAAATCTCAACAAGCATTTATGACTTCAAAACCAAGAGCAAGGCACCTTCCTTACCCAGGAAAGAGTTCCAGGTGCAACATTCAAAATTTCCCTCAACATGCAGATCACAACAACACTGAGATTCCCTCTTTCTCCAGAAAGAATGGTTCCCATCATAAACTCAGAAAACAAATGCTGGCGAGGATGTGAGGGAAAAGAAACCCTTCTATACTGTGGTGGGAATGTAGTTTGACCACTGTGGACATCAGTATGGGGATTCCTCAGAAAACTAAAACTAGAGATTATATTTGACCCAGCTATACCTCTTCTAGATATCCTCCAGGAAGAGTTAACAACATCATATTACAGTGATCCATGCACACCCACGGTTTTTGTTCCTTGGTTTTTGGTTTTGTTTTGTTTTTTGAGGCAGGGTCTCACTGAAATCGCCCAGGCTGGCCTCAAACTCATGGCAATCCTCCTGCCTCAGACACCTGAGTGCTGGGATACAGGCATGTGCCACCATGCCTAGCCACATCCATGTCTATAGCAGTGCAACTCATAATAGCTAAATCTTGGGAATAGCCTATAGGCCCATTAACAGATGAATGGATAAAGAAAATGTATTTATAATTAATTTAATATCCAGGAACCTCGTGAGGCCCTGGTGTTCTCAAGGTGAGGAGGTCCACAAGGGACAGAGCTGCAGACACAGACCACCCAGCATCCTCAGAACCAGTCCCACTCCCCCACAAGGCCCCTGGAGCCAGTGCTGTGGGGCCTGCCTGCTCCCCAGCAAGGGACCGGCTCACTCAAATCCGGGGTCAATGGGAAGAATGCAGTGAAAAGGGGCTCGTCCCCATCAGCGTCTGCACCTGGAAAACACCATTCCCTTAAGGCCGTGAGAAACTGCACCAGTTCTGAGCGAGAGTGAAGATCCTGGCTTCACAGGCCTGTGGGTTTCATTATTCCCTCTGTCTGTTCAGACGTAATGGGACACCACTCCCTGGTGGCTAATTGGAAAAGGCCTCTTATTTCTGTAATTTGTGAAACTGCTCTAAAAAGCAGATAACCAGAGGGTAGGTAACCAGATAACAATGGAGGAAAAGTCCCTGTGCAGATGATTAACATATCCATTGGACAGGCCCAAATGCCACGAGTGAGCACTCCTGTACACAGGCATCAAAACAAACCTAAGTACCTTTAAAACAGGAGTTTATTGTCTGTTCATTAAACTTCAGTAAAGCTGAAAAGAGGACAGAGGGAGGGAAAAAGAAGTAAAGAAGCCAGGTGCAGTCTCAGCACTCAAGAGGCTGAGGCAAGAGAATTCCAAGGAGTTTAAGGCCAGCCTGAACTACATAGTGAGACCCTGTCTCAAAAAAAAAATAAGAAGAAGAAGAAAATAGAAACAGAGAAAGAGGGGGCCGGGGATTTAGCTCAGTGGTTTCGCCGTCTGCTGCGCAAGCTCAAGGACCCGAGTTCAATCCCCGGTACCAAAAAAGAAATCGAGAAAGAGGAAAGATGAAGAGAGAGAAAGAAGGAAGAAATGATCAGAGCAGAGCCGGCCATCAGTCCTGAGTAAATAAACGGCATGGACACACAGTGAGTGAAGAACGCTGTGGCAGAAATCTGCCCTGAGCACGTGAGGCCAAACACCAGCAGAATGTGTGACCAACAAAACCAAGGTGCATCTCCTGGTTCCCACACAGCTGGGCACCATGACGTCAGGAAGGTGAGCGACAGGACACGAGCAGCTGTGTACAGGCAACTGACCTGACCCTCAAGGGGGAGCGTGCCCTCCTCCTGTGTCCCCTGTAATTCCCAGCCAGTAGAATGCAGTGATGAGGACGGCTAAGCAGCCAACCTGGACCATGAGGTTAAAGCCAAGCACAGAGGAGTAACCAGTTCACCTGCAGAGAAGTCGTCCAGGAGATGGTAAGAGAGCCCTGCCGTGTGACACCACAACTGTTACAGGTGTGCCTCCACCTTGCAGATGCACCCGAGTCTAACCTCTACAGTGGGAGAAACTGTGACTCCCCATGCTGCCAAGTCTGCATGTGAGGCCCCTGCTCAACATCGTATCCCAGGCCCAGCCATGCTCTGGGGACCCACTTCCCACACTCCTCAGCCAGCACCAGCCCCGCCTCTGCCCAGAGGCCCATCTGCCTTGAGGGCACCCAGCCCTGCTGGGATGCGGAGCACCCAACCCACGCCTTGAGGGGAGGTGCTCCCTACCCACAGGACCCAGGCCCTGCTGGCACAAACTGACAGTGACTCCAGAGCCACACTCTGAGACCAAGAGGCTCAGGTCAGCACTCTAAGAAAGGTGACAAGGAGAAGAGAAGAAACGCACAAACATAAACCATTTTAAAAATGAAGTACAAAGAAGGTCATGCTCTGCAAGTATTCTCTCATCTCCAGACACAGCGAGCACAGTGCTGGAAAGGGCAGCTGCAGAGAGGCCTCTCTCAGGGACTGCGTCCACAGGACAGCAATCGCCTCTTGTGCTCCACAATCCATCGAACTTCTGCATTAACAATCTTAGAATGTTTTTAAACAGATTTACTGCACAGACAAGAGACATCATTGTTTAAAAGTGTACTTACCATAGGAATCAGGATGCAAAACAAAATAATTCAAGCAATAAGAAAATCCACTCTAAAGAATGCCACTTACTTTAGCAACAAAAAGTAAGGAATCAGGAATAAATATAAGAAAGCATAGACAAGATCCTTTATACACAGTATTAAAAACTTCACTCCAAGGCATAAAAATGGCCTAAAAGAATGGGAAACCAGCAAGTTCATAAAAATGAAAGTTAAATTTCATAAAGATGTCAATTTCCTCAAGAGGATCTAGAGAGCCTATTTAATTTTAGGTATAAATCAAACTGACCTTAAAAACAAAACAAAACAAAACAAAAAAACTTCAGTGATCTGACTCTGAGATTTATAGGAAAGAGCAAAGAGTGGGGCTATGCAAGTGATTCTGAGGAGGAAGAAAAGGGGGTGTGAGCTCCCCAGCCTCCCCCAAACCGTAAGACATTACAAAGCTGTGTTAGTTAACAAGGTGTCCCAAGAGAAGACAACTGCATACTAGGACAGAACAGAGAACCCAAAACAGCTCTGCGGGAACGTGACAACAATCTAAAACAGAAGTGAAAAAACTGAAAAAATAAAAACCAGAAATGACACTGGGAATGTGGACAGAAGAGCCAGAGTCCACAGATCACACCAGGACTGACCTAGTCTTAAAGACACAGCTGTCAAGTACAGAGAGATTAAATACAGAGATGTGAAAGCCAAACTTTCAGATGAAAGTACAGAAGGACACTTTATGAGGTGCATGAAGGAGAAAATTGCTTAAGTACAGCACATTGGTGTTAACCAAAAAAGACTGATTAAGTTCAACCACACTAAAATTAAGAACTTCTCTCATCAAACCTACCAAGTAGAAAGTGAGATACAAGCCACAGAACAGAAAAAGATATTTGCACCATACAAAGTGACAATTATAATCCCAAACATATAGAGCAGGTGATGCAGAAGAACACACATTTCCCAGGACAGGAAACACAGAAGATGCCTGTAAATATACAAAGAGGTGCTTAATTCTACCAAAAAAAATGGAAATGTGAAAACTATGAGCACAATAAGAATATCTATCAGAGAAACAAAAATAGTGACGCCTGGCAACAGCAAGACTTAGCAAGGGTAGGAATTCTCCGCAGGTGAGCCTCACACACAGAGCCCTCTGGGAAGCATGCTGGCATCACTGAGAGCTGAACAGGCACTTGGCCAGGGCCACAACTGTGCTCCTCTGAAATGTCTCAGACAAAGCCTGGCAGGGGCACCTGCGGAAATGGACACGGCAGTGCCCACAACACCACTCCTAACAACATGTGCAAAACAGTCCAAGTGCCCATCAGCAGGAGAAAGGCTGAAGAAAGTGTGGGGATACTGAAACTGCAAACTAGTATACAACTGGATATAACAGGTAGCTGAAGAATAAGAGAGAGAGATCAAGCGGCGGAGACTGATTGCATAAATGATACAGCTCCAAAGGATGCAATAGTCAGAGACACAACACTCCCTCGGTAAGAAGCTGTGGAGCCACACACATGAGACCCAGGGAAGGGCCGCCCATCTCCTGGGGAGGGTCTGTGGAGTCAACACCAGGAGTCAGGTTCAAGTTTGTGCGAGCATGTTGGCCCACACTGGCGGGGTTCCAGTTCCTAAAGCTGGGGTGATCATGAGTTTAGACACACATATACATTATATATATTCTTTTGTATCTAACAATATTACATAAAAATATTTTAAGAACCATTAGCAAATCCTATGAGCAATTATGTCCACTAAGGGAAACTGTCCAGATACTGGCCACCCTGCACTAGTTTCTGGGTCCAGCCCCTCCAGGGTACCCACTGTCTTGCTGGTACTGTGAGCATGGTCCCTCACAACAGAGAGAGACACAGCTTGAACTTCCGGTCATGGCTCCTCCTCTTACCTCCGTCACCTTGGGCTGGAGTATTAATGCTTCGGGGCTCATCCGAGGGATGTCTATGTGGATCTGGAAATGCAGAAGAAGGAAACATTTAATGAAAAGGATGAACAAATATCACTACAAGCGCCACGATTCAAAGAGCAGCACTTAGTGCTGAGCCTACTCTACTCCTTCCTATGCTCTCTCCAAGGACCCGTTACCAAGTCCTGCTCGAGAGGAGGTGTCCAGAAGCACATACCATCAGACCAGGGCTTTCCAGTCTGAGGGTGACAGATTTGCCTGACACTTTCCCAAACAAGCATGGGTTGCTGTATGATTAGGAGCAGAGCAAGCCCTCAGCTATTTAGTAACATAATCCATAGCAATTAGTAAACATTGATTTTCAGCCTCTGACACAGAGAGCAATTCAAGTACATCAATAGTGCGCAGAGTTTCAGCTGTGACAGCGCCTTCTTGGAACACAGGCCACATTTTCTTCTACTTCACAAGGTCCTTGGGGAGTCTACGACACTTTTCAAAGGAAGCATTTGAAAGTCTCTGCTGGTGTCAGCCGGTTTCTGCCTGGCCACCATGTGACATGAGTTGTAACAACACTCCCAACACTGCAGAGGAGGGCACTCTCGGGTTCATGAAGAAACCAAGAAGGGACAGAGAGAGCACAGCTGGCCTCACAGGCTAGCGCGCACATCCCATCCATGAGAACATCCTACACCAGCAACTGCCATCGCTCCCATTCTCCAGGATGACAGCAGCACACCAGACTGAGGAAAGACACACCTAAAACCAAGAGGGACTCTGCAGTTGCGTTTCACTTCAGGTCTCCCTTGACCAGCTCACAGAGGAGCCTAACATCCCGGAGACTGGGGTGACGGCCTCACTCTGCTTATGCTGGCCTGTGGCCATAGGTTAACCACTCAGGCTCAGGCTCAGTCTCCTTAACGATATACGACTGGTGCAGATCGAGGATGGCTGTGGACCTGCAGCCTAAGGAACCAGACACACGTGCATCGACGGTGTGCACAGGACTGTGCGGGCAGCAGCACCATCCAGCCTGGTAAGGTCAGAAGACACCAGGTGGCCACAAGCAGGAGCTCAGCCACAGGCAGGGGACAAGGGGTCTAGCGGGGCCTTCTGGAGGGCTAGCAGCACCACATGGCTCCCTGCAGTGACATCCTGTGGGTGCACACTGTCCCCAGACAAGCACCACGAACTCCTGCAGGCCAGGAACTGGGTCTCACCTGCCTCTGTATGCCAGGGCCAGCAGGCCCAGCAAGGCCCATCCTACTCAAGACCAAGGGCAACAAGCTCACTACATGGCCAGCACAGAGCAGCCATCACACTCCACTCCCTGCCATCACAAGAGAAGAGAAACTGTACAGAGCTGGATGAACAGAACTGTGACCTCTCCCTCCCCTGGCCCACCCCCACTGGACACAGGCCTGGGTGAGTGGGACAAAGGCCACAGTGGTCTGCGGAATGACCCAGAGGGAAAGACACACCAGAGGAATCTTTAACTCTGCACAACTCCATGTGGCCTTGACAGGACGTCTTCTGATGGATAAAGGACAAGGCACCTGGGGGACACAGTAAGGCCACCACCCCTCTGCTGCCCCACTGGAGCAGGACACCATGGCTCCGGCCGAAACGGCCACAGAGAAAAAGCCCGGGAGCCACTCCAAAAGGAACGTTTGCCCAGTGCAGAAGAATCAGGCAGACAGGAAAACCTACCACTCCTGATATCACATTTTTTTCATTTATGTTAATTTAAAAATATATTGGGAATTCAAAATAATATGGGATCTTTTTATTACCTATCGCAGTAACTAAGTAAAGATGGGTGCAACCTGTCTGTAATTAACTTTCCTTTCAGCAGCTCATAACAGACACAGCCTGGCAAATCCTGCTGGTAAACACTGGTGCCATCCTTTGTCTTTTCCTTGAATAAAAATACATCAAAAACATGTTCAAAACAATACCAAATTTATCCATTTCAAAAAACCAGTGAAGTGGAAAAATAAAACAGTGAGCTAATATTTCCTTACCCAAATCCAAACACAATCTGCACCCAATCAGTTCCCTGGGGTTCCCAGGTGGTGGCCCAATGTGGCCAAAGAGCCCCCAGTGTGAGGCAGAAGGACCAGCTGGAAAGTGGGCAGCAGCAGAGGCAGGGCCACCTGGAGGGGCTGGAGTGGCTCTGGCCTGGCTTCCTGCAGCTGCTCTCCTCCGCAAGTCACTAGGCTTCCGGCCCCAATGGCATCCTACTAATAGAAAGACACTTTCCAAAGAATCCACTTACCCTAAAGAACCTTTGACTATGAATCAGAAGTTAAGGCCTGTCTTTGGACCTTCCCAACAGATCTATACCTAAGTGACAGATACAAGGGGATATCCCACATCTAGGATAGAGAAACTTGGCAAAGCTCCTCCATGTAGAAGCAGAGCTTGCAAAGAGAAACATTCACCACTGACATGCCTCAGGAAAACCAGGAACTGATTGCAGACACAAGACAATGAAACCAGTTAAGAACTACCACTCTGAACTTTCACATACTATACAGAGAATAAGAATTATAAAGTCCTCAAAGAGCTATTCTAACAGCAAATTCTGGATGTGCTGTGAATGGTAAATCAATTTTAAGTGCTTTTCCCATTATGAACATCATCTGTCGACTGAGTGCTCAAGAAAATGTAATTATACCCATTTTTTATCAAACTAACTAGCAAAATGACAAACTGGCAACACCTTTAGCTATGGACTGAGTTGTGTCATGCCAAACTAAGGTGAATAAAACACCTTTTACCTATTAGCACTCATCTCTAAGCCCCCTCACCATACCAGGGAGCACAATGCCTTCCAGCCCCATGGGACCTCCCTGTCAGGCGCCAGCTGGCTCCTGCCCTGCACGAACAATCCTTAATCCTCAGGCAGCCCAACAGCAAGCACCCTGAGGTGGTTATCCTGCTAATCAGATCTCAGGCATCTATTTTATACTTCCAATTTCAAATACCCTTTTCACTTTTGTACAAGGAATGCCAGGTATTATCATTAGAGGAAATTTATCATTATTGATTTTCAGATATATTTACTCATTAGAAAATAAAAATCTGTGAAGCAATCACAGACATGCTAGATGAAATACTTCCTTCTACACCATCACCAAATCAAAGTACTTCAAGAGATATACGGAAAAGAAAAAGGACTCCCACCTGTCTGTATGTGTCTTGGTGAACTTCGTCATTCCTAGAATCATAATAGTGCTCAATAAAAGCAAAATATTCTTTCTGTTTTCTCTGGAGGGTGGCTGGTCTTCGTTCAACATTAGCAGGAAGGTAACCCTAGGAGAAAAGGAAAGCAAATAAATATGCATATATGGTTACTGCTCACTCACAGGGCCATGATTAGAAGTGGGAAATAAAAAGGCTCACATCTATGTTAAATGAAATAAATTGGACACAGACACTTAAATATCACATGGTTTCTCTTACATGAGAAACCTAAAATATAAACAAAGGAAAATGAATGACAAATAATAGGAAATATGAGACAGATCTTGTCTAAAGAAAAGAGGACCACCACTCCCAGCACAGAGGAGGTGAGCCGCTCCCAGCAGCCAGGAGGAGGCTTCCAGGCCTCCGTACCACCACTCCCCAGCACAGAGGGGGTGAGTCACACGGGCAGCAGCACCACCACCACCACCCACATCAAAATGAGAACACTCATAAAAAAGTCTCAAAACCAGACTTCCAGATCACCTAAAGCAGCCCCAAAGGGAAACGAGATGGAATACTCTGATATTCAACCACCTGGACTCCCTGAACTGGCAACAAAAGAGTATCTGGAAAAAATGAAATCAGAAATAATTTCTCAGATAACAGCTGAGATTGTGTCCATAGTACAAGACATGATTAATAAATCTAGAGAGGACAAAGATAAAAAAAAAAATAGAGGAGCTGAGGAACATGATGGAATCCCAACATAGGAAACTAATGGAATCCATAAAACAGATGCAAACAGATTACCAGGAGATGAAAAATTTCACTGAAAGCTTTACACAGCACAATGAGCCAATGTGAGGACAAAATTTCAGACATAAAAGATAAGATTGCAATTAGCGATCAGGAAAAGAAAAATTTCTTTAAAATTGTAAGGGACCATGAGATATCAATCTAGCAGCTGCTAGACAATACAAAAAAATAACATAAGACTCATCGGAGTCAATGAAGAAACAGGAGAGAG